TATATATATATATCTGTATTCTAAAGGTGAGAATGATTTTTATTTGTTTAAATATATTTTTATTGATTTTTTTTTACAGAGAGGAAGGGAGAGGGATAGAGAGTTAGAAACATCGATGAGAGAGAAACATCGATCAGCTGCCTCCTGCATACCCTCTACTGGGGATGTGCCTACAACCAAGGTACATGCCCTTGACCGGAATCAAACCTGGGACCCTTGAGTCCGCAGGCTGACGCTCTATCCACTGAGCCAAACCGGTTAGGGCAAAAAAAATATATTTTTTTAAAAAGTTGATTTCTACAGTAGAAGTGATTAAGATTGATAACTTAATTTTGTAGTTTTTATTCAGGAGGACCTTAAGTATTAGACTCTTCTTTATTGCAAGTACATTCACTTAAATATTATCAATGACAGGTTGAATTTGGGGGGTTCAAATTAAGATAAATGACTATTGTTGACATTGATATTGTGCATTTCCTTTTTTGCAAGTGTTGTGTTGAACTTGATTGTTTTGTAGCTTGATCCTCTCTTGTGAATTCAGAGAAAGGCATTCTTTCCTTCACCTGATAGAGCCAGTCATTTTAGCATATAATAGGACCCCCGCCCCCACCACGCTGTGGCTCAGCTCTCTCTGGCTCCCCCACCCAGATGTCTGTTGACCAGTCCCTCTCCTTGGCGGTCAAGGCTGCTCAGCCAGCTTGTCCTCTCCGCCTGACTTTGTTTCTTCCTTCTCTTTAAGGGGGGCCTTTTCCTTGCAGTCAGGCCCCAGCCTGCAGGAGCTAATCAGGCACCACAGAGTGGAGAGCACCCCAGCCAGAGAACTGGGTCTTGGAGTTTTTAAAAGATACTTTCATGTAGGCATTTTGAATAAAGTATCCCTGAGTGAAAATAGACTTGGTAACATTTTACTATAAAGTTTCAAAATCATCCTCTTCCCTTCCAGCCTCCCTTCAAACAAACCCACAATTCCATTTGGCATAAAAAGTTTGAGCCCTGGCTGGGTGGCTCAGTCGGTTGGAGCATTGTCTCATACACCAAAAGGTTGCGGGTTCGATTCCTAGTCAGGGCGCGTACCCAGGTTTCAGGTTCAATCCCCGGTTGGGGGAGAGTACGGGAGGCAACCAATGAATGTTTCTCACATTGATTTTCTCTCTCTCTCCCTCCCCCCACCCCTTTCTCTCTCTAAAAATCAATAAACATATCCTCGGGTAAAGATAAAAAAAAAAAAAACTTTTATAAGCTGAAATCAAATAATGCCAACCAACTATGGAGAGATAGCTACAAGTTAACATAGCAAAGACTGCTAATTTTGAAGTACGCCCAATCCAAAATAGAAATTGGGATTTTAGGAAGTCATTTAGATAGATTTACAAATAAATCTAGTAATTGATTTTGAAAATGTATCCAAAGGCATCAACCAGAGTATCAGTGGACTCGTTACTAGTAATTGCTGTAAAAAGGATACAAAGAAGAAAAAGTCCACTCTTGAATGACTTTTGGCTCGGTTTTTACTGAAGAAGGTAGTGCAGAGGTTCAGCCTTACATGTTTAGGAATGTGGACAGATGGGCAGAGGCCGGGAGACATACATGAAGCTACTTAGCTTCCTAGTTAATATGACCCATGTGAGTACGTTTTAGGCCTCCGCGGGGAAGTGTGTGACGCTGCAGGGTAGCGTCTGTGTATTACAGACTCCTGAATGGCCGCATTGTAACATCCCTGCAGACGTCAGTCAGTCTTGCTTATGTTTTGGTTCTGGAAGCTGGGACCGGAACACTTCCGGCGACGCAATTTTGGACACAAAGTCCCCTGTACCCGTGGTACCGTTCAGTGCCGGTGTAACGTAGCCCCTGGGAGCGTTGTGAATTTCTCAAGTGACACTTGCTGAGTTTATCATTTATTTTTCAGAGTTTGTTTTTAAAACAGGAAAATGAAGACAGTCACTGAGGCCTTTATGCAGGAAAGTGTTTATATAATCAAGGCTGCCACCTAGTGGGGTTTAGGTTCTGCTTCTATTTGCACACTTGACAGTGAAAGGATTGTGATGAAGT